GTTCTAGCAATGATCATGCTTAGGCGACAGCTTCGGAACTTGTTTCGGGTTTCGAGGAAGTTTACAAGTTTATCTTAACCCTCTATCGCCGTATGTCAGTGTCCGGGGAAATAACTTTCAACTTAAACGATACGCAAGCTATTGAGTGTAGCATCATGAGGACGTTTGTACGCAACAGAGAATTTTAAAGTTGTCGTACGTGGCGGCAACCATCAGTGCAAGTAATTTTATGCTCACTAGAATGTCTCCATTTTGGAACTAGGCTTGTGACAATATTGCTCTGCTAACTCATGTCAGGAGATAGAGGGTTATGATCGGAATGAACAATTGACTACCATATGTGAATTTGTGTTTTACCCTAAATACAGAAACAAAAATTATAGTTGCAGCAACTTTGATCTTAGCTATATTAGTTACCGATCATATGTAACTTGGTTCTGCAAGTGGAGATGAAGTGAGAACGAACACACCCAAACCTCTAGGATACCACTCAAGTGTCAGAGGATCTTACGAATTTCAGGATAAGATACGACTTGACCAAATTTTATAAGATACGACTTGAACGAGCTCATGTGTTTACCTGATTCGGAAGGAACTAATGTAAATTGCCGTGTTTGATGCAAACTATTGAGATCTCTACGCCAAAGGATATTAACCCTGCAGCGATCCTTAGTACAGGGTGAACCAGAATTAAGTAACCCTTTTAATTTGTTAATAAATAAAAAAATAAGAACGTTATGAAGTTGAAACTTGTTTTATTTAAAATAAGAACATTTTTATGGTAATATTGTATCATAGTTACGTCATTATCCTGTATAGCTTGCTAAATTTGTGTTTAATTATGAAGCCTTAAATTTTCATCATGATTCGCCACAGCAAAGAAGAAAAAACGAAAATTCTGCAAACCTACATCAGGACGATGTTAATAACAGAAGTTCAACGTGATTACAGGATCCATTTCAAAACAAGAATCAGTCCTTCAAAAAACACAATTAAATCTCTTTATCGAAAATTTGCGGATACCGGGAATGTTAATGACAAACCACGATCTGGAAGAAAAAAGTCAATTCGAACTGCAGACGCAATTCAAAGAGTTGATGTAAGCATTACAAATAATCCCAAAACCGCCACCAGAAAACGTGCTTCTCAATTAACCATTTCTCAATCGACATTATGCCGCATTCTGAAAAAGGACTTAAAGTTGAAGTCCTACAAAATTCAATTGACTCAACAGTTATTGCCTAATGATCATCACCAGCGTCTTGAATATTCCGAATCCTTTCTTCGTTTGTGCGAGGATGCCACTTTCATCGAAAATTGTGGTGGGCATTTAAAAGATATTAATATTATATTTAAAAACTAGGATACAATATTACCATAAAAATGTTCTTCTTTTAAATAAAACAAGTTTCAACTTCATAACGTTCTTAGTTTTTTATTTATTAACAAATTAAAAGGGTTACTTAATTCTGGTTCACCCTGCATTTAGGACGGTGCTTGCGTCGCGAGTTAGGTTTAAGCTCGGACTAGTGTAGGCAAGCTCCGTTGCCTGCAATGGCCGTTCTATTACAAAAAGTTACGAGTATCTAACGTCGCCAGCCAATCACTGACATATTTTCAAGCTAAGTCTGCCAATGAAACACGAGAAATCGGCCGCTACATGTACATGAGCAAGTCTTGATAGTACGCACCATGGCTGTCGTACGAGCTGCTAAGCGTCATCGACGGCAGAATAAAAAGTGATTAAGGGTGCTTGGCACTCCATTTTGGTGTTGGCATCCCCGAAACTCAGTTTTATCTCTCATATTGATAATACTTCCATGCTGAGTAGTTTGTGCACTTGCGTATACTTAACTTTTGGTGTAAATGTGCCGAGGCAATGAGCTTAGTTGTATTTGAAAACATATGGCACGAGAGAGCGGTATATTATGAGCGGCGCTTGATGGGTAAAAAAATAGTTAGTTGATATAGTGGAGCATGTTTGGTCACACCGGTGTCTTCGTTGATGGGGCCCGGATCCCTTGTGGAATCAAGTCACCCAAAATACAGGAATCGGCCACAGACCATGGGTCTATTTCTTCAGTGCCGACCCTTCTGTTCTTTCTATCAAGTAACGCAATGTCATTGCGCTGCTGACTCAGCAGCTTACCATCCTACTATGCTTTTTTCGTCATGGGATCTAAGCTCCTTCCAAAACGTACGAATGCGGTGTGCCTAGTTTACCCACAACACTACTTTCTCATAATACTATGAACCCTTCCATTAAACTATTTTATTATCCTGTAGGCTTAACTCACCCTTCAACTTGCCGTACTGACAAAAATGATCCATCGAGGTCTTTTATCCTTTGTCTTACGTTTGCTAGTCGTATGACTTCAAAGTCCCAGCTAAGGGGGAAGATGGGCAGAGACGAGACTAGAGGTTTGGGGAACTGTATTTCGTGGAATCTGGTATACAACTGAAGGATAAAGGCTTGCTGGCCTTACATGTCATACCATTGACAATATAGTAGTTATACTTTAATTTGATCCTAATACGTAAACACGTAACATTTTGAATGCAAGACTAGATTGATCATTGAAAAGATATTGGAAGATATTGACCTCATCCGGCATATCGCGTTGCGGATATTGTAAAAAAATTTGTTGTTTCCCGTATATTGAATCCGATTTGGAGATATTCGCTGCAGGTTCAAGGTGCTAGGAAGCCTGCAGAGCTGCCGCAGAAGCGATGGTGCAGGGCCAGTTTTTCGTTCCCTTATAATCAAGTTTAAAATAAAAACTGACTCTAGTTAGATTACTGGTCTCGGCTTCTTCCTCACTCAATTTACTGGTGGACAGTAAATTTTATTTCTTACTGACTAATTACCGGTGCTTCGCAGGTCTCGGCTTCTTACTGACTCAATTTACTTGTGAACAGTAAATTTTAGTACTTTACTGACTAATTACTGTTGCTCCGCCGGTCTCGGCTTCTTACTGACTCAATTTACTAGTGGACAGTAAATTTTAGTTCCTACTGACTAAATACTGGTGCTCCGCAGGTATCGGCTCCTTACTGGCTCAATTTACCGGTGGGTTGTGGTTTCTTACTGACTCTATAGTTACTGGCGCTCTGCAGGTCTCGGCTTCTCGACCGGTTATCCCCCAGCTTCAGATAATATATGGAGTGAGTTATATTCACTGCTGGGTAAGATACTCACTAATCAGATGGTTAATCATAAACGAGCTGTGATAAGATGCTCAACTGAATAATTATAAACTGTGCTGTAAATAAATACTCAGTTGATCAATTATACACCGCGCTCTGAGTAGATACTCACATGATTGATTATACACTACACCACGCAGTGATTAATAAGTTAATTACTTATCATACAAGCTAATTTTGATACTTTGGTTTTCATCTCGGAGTTCTCGTCTTTTCTTATCAAAATCGATTTCTGTAGAGCAACTAATGACAACTACGCCAAGGCAGAATAAAATCGACTGGATTTAAACTGCAAATAGAACGCACGCTGCTAAGGAATAGTATGTTTCAACGTTAATTTAAGAAGGTTGAATTTAACATCCTAATGTTACAACTACTTTGAATACACTAACGAGTAACCACACACCGCAATAAGATGAATAAAAAACTGAGATCTATTTTTTTGCTTCATTACTAAAAATAAATTTATTTTTTCTATGCTATGAGTTTGCAATCGATTGCAATGTGCGTATAGGTGTTTACTGCCTTCAGCGCATGATCAAACATCGCCAAGGTCATCGTAAGTTGTGAAATGACCACAAGATGAGAGTGCAGGCCTGACGCTGACAGAACTGGTTTGAATGAAGGACTTGTTGGTTGAGGAACTTAAGACACGCAGTAGCTGAAGGAAGGACTGGTTGAGGAACTAAAGACACGCGGTAACTGAAGGAAGAACTGTAGTTGGGAACTAAAGACACGCGGTAACTGAAGGAAGAACTGTAGTTGGGAACTAAAGACACGCGGTAACTGAAGGAAGGACTGTGGTTGGGAACTAAAGACACGCGGTAACTGAAGGAAGGACTGTGGTTGGGAACTAAAGACACGCAGTAGCTAAGGAAGAACTGTAGTTGGGAACTAAAGACACGCAGTAGCTAAGGAAGAACTGTGGTAGGGAACTAAAGACACGCGGTAACTGAAGGAAGGACTGTGGTTGGGAACTAAAGACACGCAGTAGCTGAAGGAAGAACTGTAGTTGGGAACTAAAGACACGCGGTAACTGAAGGAAGGACTGTAGTTTGGAACTAAAGACACGCAGTAGCAGTAGCTGAAGGAAGAACTGTGGTTGGGAACTAAAGACACGCGGTAACTGAAGGAAGGACTGTGGTTGAGGAACTAAAGACACGCGGTAACTGAAGGAAGGACTGTGGTTGGCTGAGGAATGTAAGACACGTTGGAACTGAAAACATTGCGGTAGAATGTCAAAGCATTTACTTGAAAGTTTGTTAATATTTTGTGGTTGTGGAATTCAATCATGCACTTCAATTTAAACTTTATATCTACTCAAATTCAATAATTCATCCGTTCACGCCCATAAATTCTTATATCTGTAAGGTGTTTCGCGGAATCAATGTATTCGATTCTTTCTGATGCAAACGTGGTGTTTTTCGAGGTCAGTGGAAATCCTCAGCCAAACTGTCGAGGTGTAATAGTCAGCCATTACGTAACCGCACTTGAAGATTTCGAAAAAAGAGCGATCTATGGTCCAAGCAGCCGAATAGGGATTTTGTTCTTTAGAAATAATTGTGATGTATAACAAATGAGTCATTATTTCCAGATAAAATTTTATTTCTTGGTTAAAGATAAGGCCTCTTTATGCAGGCTTGACTACATTTTACCATAATCTAGTGTTAGCTAGTCAACAGATTTGTGTCTAGTCATTTTATAAAACGCCTAATTTCTGTGCCAAAGACATGATTTTAACGATTTTCGTTAGTTGTGGAAAATCACTTTATTTTATTCACCCCCAGAGTCCTCCGGCATAAGAAGCAAGTAAATATTTATTCTGGACCTAACCCCATTCAAAAAGCTAATAATCTAAAAATATTAGTAAAGGAGTTATCAGAGTAAACAATTCTATAATTTACACGTGGAAACATCCATTGTCGAGCAGGAGTCTCTGCCAGTTTTTTACTTCACCTCCAACCGAAAATATGCAAGGCCAGCGGCACTGCTTGGCGCTCTTTTTTTCTGTTTTACATAAAACATAGAGAAGTAACGTATAAAGGTACATCAAATTTGAAGACATTTAGCAGAAACGAAGATTTCTTTCCAGCGTTGACCTTAGCCTGATCTTCTGCTGGATTTTGGTTATTAATGCCTACGGTGACTCAACAAAATTCGACGCAACATTTTTGGTGAGTCATGATCATGGAGTTACGCGAGGAAATTATTCGGCGTTTGTGATTTTTATATCGTCTCGGTTTCATTTTTGCATTAAGAACGTCTTAATTAAGCTTCTGTTGAAATTCATTATATGAGCCTGGCATTTTTTGGGACAAACAAATATGTTATTTTTTATCTCGACTGAAAACTTTTAACATTGCAGAACGTTCCTGGGCCTGCTTGAAAGGAATTAAATGGACTAATATCAATTGAGGCTTTTTTGTAATTTTCGCGTTGATTTTCGTTTCTTTTACAGACTTCCTAGTCGAGTTCACAGACACACACGCTCTCTGGTGGCGACTACGGTGACAGAGATCAATCAGGGATCAACAATATTGTTGGGTGTACAATTAAGTGTTGTCTGCTCTAAACAATATTGTAGGGTGCATAAGTGCAATCTGGTTTGAAAAATATTGTAGAGTGCAAAATTATAGCCTGGTCTGAACAATATTTTAAGGTGCCTAAATGTCGTCTGGTCTGAACAATATTACAAAGTACTTAATTATGTGTCGTCTGGTCTTATCAGCACCAACCTAATGCAATCCATAAAACTGACCAATCAACAACCTAATGCAGCATACACCTCACTTACTGACACAATCATCAACCTAAAGAATCGCAGCTGAAGATGCAGAACGAACCGAATGACAGTTCTGCACAAGGTGTATTTTTCCGTAGTGACCAATTCAGCGATGCGAGTGGCACAAGTTTTCCCATTTTAGGAATTAATGAAGATATATGGAAAATAACCCGAAATATCAGTGAAGAAAACGATGAATATCATTCAACTGCACTGATTTCAAGTAATTATCCAAATCAGGGAACTGAATTCACGGTCTATAATAATTTTGTTCACAACACAAAAGATCAACCATTACTTTTTCCAATCACTGAACGTCTTTGGACTGAGAATGGTTTTCCCGACAACACCGCAAATCCTTTTTCTCAAGAGGCAGCGTCACTGCTGGCGCAGAGTCACCTTCACAGCAGCGCAAGTGTGATTTCAAGCCCTTGGCAAACTTCTGATAGAACCGGCGACGAAGGTCCGTTGGGTGTAATAGCAAGACGCGTCAATGAATTCAATGATCAGAATTTGCCGGAAAACGAGTCAATCACTTCAAATCTCGTAAATAAATTTGGGCCGTCATGCCTGATCGACGGTATCGAAGTCGGGCCTCATTACCAAAGCTTTAACCACAACGCAGAAAATTCTTCAGCTCTGTGCAATGTCAAGCCAGCCCCTACGATGCCATTAAACGACTGGGAAATGAGGCCGCAAGTCAGTCATATTCAAAGCAACGATTTCAGAACATCTTTTGACGCAGAGAATGCCAATTTATCTAGTCCGATGCCCATGTCTATTGAAGACAGAAATTTTGTACAAAATTCTTTCCCGACTTTGACATATTTCATAGATCCAAGCTGTACTGGTGGAAACAATACGAATTATTCTTCAGGACTCGGGTTTCCAGATTGCCAATGCAGCACTAGCAACTTTTCAAATATTCCATCGCAACAGCCACAAAGCGCAATGAAGCCTGTAAACAACATTAACTTTACCGTCGCTGACGGCAGTTTTGACGAGTTCGCTAGGACCATCGTCGAACGCTATGAGACAGCTGAGTTAGTGGGAGCCCCTCTTGGGAGAGGTGAGACTCAATCGCAAGATCAGGTAGACGACGCAAATTTTAGAACCGACAGTCAAGATTTAGCAGAAAATATTTCGGAGCGGTTGAGATTTCCAGATCAGTCTTATTACGATTCCAGTTTTCAGGAAAGTGATAATGATCAAAAAGCGGAATCTTCCATATTGCCAACTTTGATCGACGAATGTTACCGCCCGCGACATCAATTAAATGAAGTTATTGTAACGAAATTGGAAAAAGAAGATGAATTAGATAAGACTACTTACCCCTCACGTATCAATCTAGCTTTAAATGATGGTAAGAACCACGTGAGTAGCGGAATTCAGTCGACCACTTCAGACACAGATTTCTGTAATCAGAAATGTGAAAATCATACCCATGCTTTACAAAGAAACCCTGATGATGCTCCAACCCCTCGAAAACTTGATCAGCTTGAACGACCACTTCTGTCATCTAATTCAACTAAACCTTTATCAACATTAGCCGTCTTCACGACCCTAGAAACAAAATTCCAAAACGCAGACATTATATCGGCGGCCCATCTTGAAAGTTGCCCTAATCCTAGCCTAGATACATCATCGCAATCTACCGAGTGTCATGGAAATTACGGTAGTAATCAGCGAGCAGTCCCACTCCATTCACGCAATAGAGAGGTAGCGAGTTCGACTAAAAGAAGAAGACACAAACGAGAAAAAACCTTCAAAAAGAGAGAGGAGAATGCGAGGACTGAAACGAATGATGGTTGCAGATTCCCACTACCTGATCTTCAGAACCAAAATGAATTGGTCCAATCTATCACTCCATGCGGGTCACTGCACGCGTCAAGTTCAACAAAACCTCTGGAAGAAACAGGTACATTTGAAAAACCTTCCAAACATGATGCAGCTACAATAAATTCAGGATCCAATTGTTATACATCTTTAATGAAGACGAGATCCTCGAAAAAAATGGGCCCAAAATTTCGATCCTCCCATAAAACGTCAGTTGGTTCTGGAAGCAGCTCGAAAATTTGCGGTGTCTGTGGTGACGCGGCTAAAAGCATGCATTTCGGTGGGATGGCTTGCGATTCTTGTAAGGCTTTTTTCCGGCGGTCGGTGCAGGGGAAATGTTGGGTTGAGTTTCGGTGTCCGATGAACAATTCGTGTTCAATCAGTAAGAAAAATCGGAAAAACTGTCAGTACTGCAGGTTTTCAAAATGCAAGCAGAACGGGATGAAAGTTTCATGGGTGATGACGGAAGCAGAAAGAATGAATTTGTGGAAGAACCGTCTGTCGAAACACAAAGAAGTGACAACGACTAATGCATGCATAGTAAATGAGCAGGTAAGGCAGAGCTCTGAAGATTTGGACAACCCGGCGGCATATTTAACGAATGAAGAGAACACTAGTGTTTGTAGCGGTACCGGTACTACAGAGGTGCAATGGGAAGCCGTGTGTGATGGAAAGCGATTCCCTTTAGAATATGAAAGCGCAAACGATCTAGAATGCATGCCAGATAATGAAACTGGAATTGACTCTTTGAATGTAACCAAATCGATCAATAACGCAAACGATTTCAGGAACAAGATCGTTGGGACGAGTATTACAAATTTTTCAGCGGAGCATCCTTTGGGTAATGATGACGTCGTCACTATCAACAACATCATCGCCCTTCTAACCTCAATTTTCCTAAACAATCCGTACCCACATTTTTGCGAAGGTGATTCACTAGAAGCGTTGACTCACATGTTCGTGAGCGTATGCAAGAAGATGGGGTCGTTTTTTCACAGGACTGCTGATTACCGCAGTTTATCACCAAATGACCAATTTCACTTGCTTCGGACTGGGATTTCCACTTCAATTTATTTACATGGTGCTTATAACTTTGATCAAAAGTCTATGTCATGGCCACGAGAATCTGGCCTAGAGGCTTTAAGGTCCCCCATGGTGTCAGGCGAAACGGTATTGCAGCTTGCTAGGAAATCAGAAACCTTCATTACTCTCATTGAATTCCTCATGAAATACAGCAATGATCTACAAGACGAAGGAGTGCTCGCCATCATGTCGCTCATTACTTTGTTCCAAATCAACGACCAGAGTGACCATGTTATAGACAAGTTTGGTGTGATCGAACGTAGAGAAAAATACCTGCAACTCCTGAGTCGTTACCTTCGTTACCGGCAAGGTGAGCACGGTTCCTTGGTGACTCTCCCTAAACTAGTAGTCTGTTTAAATGATCTACTCAAAATCGCAAAAAACCATTCGAACATCGACATCCAACCGAACATCCATATTCGAAATGCCATCGCTGTGAGTAAATCATCGGTCTCATACGCGCGTTTCATGGACTCGATCATGTCTCTTATGGCCAATTTAGCCGTGGAACCTTTCCCGACTCATTCGACGATCCAGCCTTCTGGAGACAATTCGGCGTCTCAAGAGAACAAAGGGAAAAATGTTTCAACAAAGTTCTATCATCCAATTACCGATGCAATCTTCGGTCAAGAAATTTGTACCAATAGGCTCATTAATTACTCCATGGACAGCATCAGTATGCCTCGCGAATCGCCTCTGACGATTCATAGAGTCCCTCAGTTTGAACTAGACGTGAGCAGCAAGTTTGCGCTCGTGAAGAAGATTCTTGACATGAAACGAGCCACGACCGAAGCTAACATTGATGCCCCAAGTGCAGTTGTTGCGGTGCCAAGCTCTTTGAATTTAAGCGATGGTTGTGTGGCAAAACCTCTCCTTGAGGATGCAAATTCAATCAAAAAACGCGGCATTGAAGTTCTGTGTGACGTTCTCGTGTACGTTTCTAGGAGCAAAGACCCAGAAGCCATCAGGGCGTTGCAGAAATGCCTACCTCCGCGTGTCCTCGAAAATTTAGCTAAGAAATTGAACGTTAATAATGGAGAAAATAATTAGTCATTTATAGAATGAAAAATATCATCCAAATTGATATTTAATTACAAGGGAAATTTTGCAACTTTGATTTTGCAGCATCCCCAAAGAACTTTATACATTACTTCGGAACCTTGACAGGGCCAAGGCAAATCTTGCGCCGTTAGATAAAATTTTCAGAGAGAGTTGAAATGATTTTAAACGAAATTAATTTTAGCTGGAAAATATGAATACACGCATTTTGCACTGAACCTGTTTCTATAACGAGCTCTCTTCTGAGCATACAAGTAAGTTATTCACCTTATTCTTGAAATGTTAAACAACCAGTGCGCTTCGTGTTTACATAGTCGTCTTCTGCATCACAAATGACCTGAGAATAAGAACGATTTATGAGAAAGTGAAATAGGATTTGGTTAGCCATCGAAATAATATCCACCAAAGATTTCCAAGACTCAACATTAAGATGGTAGTGTTTCACCAGCGGGATGAGTTACGGTTAAGATGGTGGAGTTTCACCGGCGAGGTAAGCTACGATCAAGATTGCAGAGCTACACTATATAGCGAGGTGCGTTATATTTAATACTGTAGTATTTTAGTACTGATAATGCTGCAATTAACATTGTAGAGTTTTATCATTCAGATGAGCTACAATCAGGATTGTAGAACTTCAAGAGCGGACAATTAATATTGCAGCGAGGTGAGCTACATTGAAAACAGTAGAGCTTCCCAGCTGGTGGAGCTAAAATTAAGAATGTAGTTCTATAGAGTGGGTTTCGTTTGTCATCAAATAGCCGTTGTTGAACGTGAACTTTGTCTTAGTCGAAAGTTCAGTGTGAGCCAAGAGAAAAAATGCTTGATGATGACGAAACTATGCTTCGTGAGTTACTTTCCTGGTATTAATTATTGTTATCATGAACCTGGAAAAAGTTCATAATATATATAAGCGATTATTGGCTTAGCTTTATCCATGTAAGTAGTGGTCTTCACCTAATCAATCGGCCAGTAAATGACGCGGGCGCAACGTGCGTCAAGTACCAGCTAGGGATCGGTGCGTTTTTCTTGGGGAATCGTGCAATTTTTAATTAATTTTATTCGGCGCATGCATCGATGACGGCACATAACTCTCGATCTCCGCCACGCCTACGTCGTGGAGGGATCCTGATTCCTAGCTTGTGCTGTTGGTCGTCTTCGTGGTGGACATCGTTGGTCAGTCCAAACGTCAAAGCTATACCGTCAAAACCTTGGGCGCCGGAATGTGGATTACTGCCCCGCAAGAATCGAGAAACTTCAACACCCGCGGCCCTCTACTCTTTCATTTGACAGCCTGCTTCTTTAGAGAACTCTTTCCGTTTTTTCTCATCTGATGTTCCTTCTAGTTGTTCAGGGACTCCACTCCTGCTGCTCTGCTCTTGTGCCCGCGTGGCTACTTACCGAGGATACTCTTTCCTGTGCTCCTGATTAAGGGTTTAGAATTTAGATCCACAAGAGGACTGACTATAGGCGTGCGTTCCATCTCAACTCAGCAAGCTGATTCTGTCCCTTATGTAGCCAGGCTCATGTTGCCACGAGAAAAATCATAATTCAATATTACATTTTTGCCTCTACCTCCGGTATCCTAAACGACGATTCTTGAGCTGCATTCTCTCCCATGGACCGGCCGTCAGCCTAGCCATCATCAGCACGCATCTTTTCCTGTGCAAAGCCCAAGTCCTCCATGTCACCCTGTGAACTCCGAATAAATCCGCATCTCCCCATTCTGATCCACCTGCCGGTTTCTCACTCAATAATTGACAATACGTATGTCAAAGATACATAGTCATTTTAGTAGCTACTGAAGCTGCAGCAAAAATCGTACCGAAAAAATTTCTTCGTGAATTTTGTGTTATTCGGTGTTATACGGTGTCAGTGTTATGTTAATATATATGTTTATATAAAAAGAGCTCAGGTCAACCAGCAGAACCGAATTGAGTTTTCATAAAATTTAAGTCATTTTTTTAGAAAAGCAAATCTCATTACGCTTGTTGCGCGCTAAAAATCTCTTTTACGCTAATTCAAAATACAAATATTGGAGTGATTTTGTGCCATGATTTCACGATAAAGGAACAGTTCCCCCACAATATGAAGATCCCCCTAACAACCCCCCTTCAAAGATTGGATCCCCCCCCCGAAGATCGGCGACAGGCCGCATCAGGCCTACTATTTCAGCGCCGACATCACTATGTTAAAAAGTCCGATATAACACTGAACGGCTGACACCTCAAGTCTCAACTCGAAACAACACGGATAACGTTCCCGCTAGTATTGAGTGTGAATACTGACTAGTATGATACACTGTACATTCTCGAGTGGACACTGGACAACTACACATCGTAAAACTATATACTAACATTTTCAGTTATTTTTGCGTATTAAATGTTTATTATTCCTTCTCATCACCTAACTACAGGTTGATCAACGGAAACTTCCTGATTCGAAAAATCAATAACAAAAAGAACTATGAAAGATATCGTTACAATATAAATTTAATTGAAAAAAACTGCATTTTTGCATCACTTAGTTTTTACGATGACATCGGATAAATGATAGCCCCCGTTGTCAATGCATTCAGTTAGTCGACTTTTGAAGTTCCGTTCAACTCGCGGAAGCATATTGACGGGTATGTTGGCGATGGCTTGGCGTAAGTTCTTCAAATGAGGTAGCATCCTTGGACAGTCATTGTAATAATTGATTAAAGGTAACCCTATAAAAAATCACACGGAGCCAAATCGGGGATTTGGCCGGCTAAATAAGGTCACCTCTCAAAGAGATGAGACGCTCTGCAAAATGTTGTCTCAGAAGAGACATTGAACATCGCGCTGTGTGGGCCGTGGCTACTTCCTTCCCGTTGGAACCAGACATCCCTGACATGCATTTCATTCCATTTTTAAATAGATTCAGAACTTGAATTCAAAGTCACTGGGTTTGCTGATTATTGAAGTGACTGAGATGTACGCAAAGCAATGAAAACATCATATGGTTATGACGAAGCAAAGTTCGTGCTTGTTTATGAATAAATCATTATGCAAGAGGTTTTCTGACAGTAAATTCTCGATATTGTGCACAAATGTTTCCCTGTAATACTGACGAGGAAGTCAAAAACAATGCATTTCAATATAACATAACGGTGATGTCGGCGCTGAAGGGTAGGCCTGTTGTGGCCTGTCGCCGATTTTTGTACTTTTCGTGACTTGTTCGTAGATCTAAAATCGTGTCATTTGACCGGATCTTTTCATGACTGGCGATAGTTTGAAGTAGCTACTAGACTTCCACCGGGTTCGTTATGGTGCTAGGCATTTAAAGTCTGAATATATATTTTTCCATACCTTTATCTAGTCTGTTCTTGAACGCGTTTGTACTCGGAGTGTCAACGATGTAATCGGGGAGGCTGTTCCACATGTCGGTGATTCGAAGCGAGAAGAAATGTCGCGTAGATGAGTTGCAACGCTGTTTTTTGAGTTTATAGCCGTGGCCTCTGGTGTTGGTTCTTGTTTTTTGCACCTACTGTATAACAAACAAATGAACATTAATACCCATTTTCCTTAAAGGTTATAATTTTGACTGTGACCAAACTGTACGTCATTTCTATAAATAACATTTGCACTAAATTTATCAAACACTCTAACGGCATGAGGGAAATTATATCTTACTGGTGATAACAGAAAAGTTAAAATGCTAGCAATAAAAACGGTACCCCTATAGAGTTCCATCTTATAGTTGGTTACAGTATTTTTCAAAAGTTTTTCAGTGAAATCTGTCATACTTTACTGGTATCTTTATAAGTTGTTGATTGTTTCCTGTTTTATGAAGATTTCATCAATGGGGCCGTCACGGCTCTTAATAAGCGAATTATTATTATTATGAGAATTATTTTCATTGAGGACTTAACAATTGTGAATATATATTTCTTCATTCAGCGCTAACAGTTCTCTGGAATTTTCGTAGCGTTTTTGATTAAATTTATACATAAGTGTTGTTTAAATTGATGTCTAAATTATCAGGTGGACTTTGTAGAAGTGTGTTTTCTAGGGTTAGTTTTAGTTTTACAGATTTGTTATGTTTGCTACGGGTTGAGTTTTACTAATAGTGTTATTTCTGTTGGTGCTTTCAGTTGTACAGATTTGTTATACTTAGACGGTAATTTTATTAAGGCACAAGCCCTGAACGTGTGTTACCCTCTTACCGACCCTGCTAAGGGTTGTCGCCACTGTGTTGAGGATTGTCGCCTCTGTGTTGAGGGTTGTCGCCTCTGTGTTGAGGGTTGTCTTTGAGGGTTGTCGCCACTGTGTTGAGGGTTGTCGCCTCTGTATTGAGGGTTGTCTCCTCTTTGTTGAGGGTTGTCGCCTATGTGTTGAGGGTTGTCTCCTCTTTGTTGAGGGTTGTCGCCACTGTGTTGAGGGTTGTCGCCTCTGTATTGAGGGTTGTCTCCTCTTTGTTGAGGGTTGTCGCCACTGTGTTGAGGGTTGTCGCCACTGTCTTGAGGGTTGTCGCCTCTCTATTAACCGGAAGTGTGTTGCTTAAGATTTGCTGTAGTTCGCACGATAGTGGTGTTTGAGGTATGCTGAATGAATATTTGTCTCATTTCCGTTTTGAAATAAATAAAGACCTTGACCTGCTAGTTTATTGAACCATGTTTATTATTAACCTCCTGATTCACGATATGAAATCATATTACTTGTCCCCTCATTTGCCCCAGCCTGCAAGGAAGAAACTTTTTTCTACGGGCAGCTTGGCGCTCCCGCAGGCCTCCTTATGCCTCCCACAAATTATACTAACGCAAAAGAAAAAATTATTGAAGCTATAGGGCACTGACCAAGAAAGAATTCTTCATCGCAGTGGCGATCATAAATTGCTTCGAACTATGTTCTCAACTTCTCGGTGACTGCCAACTGATAGTTCTTAGAAAAGTTACGTACCAAAGTGACTATACTACCTCCACCACTCGTGTAGCCTCCTGATAGTTGTTAGCATAGAAACGTAGTCAAGTAACTATAGTACCTCGATGAATGGTCTTCTCAACAGAGATAATCTAGAGTAAAGTCATATGACGTCATCAGGTTAATTCCTACATTATGTATCATTAAATTATACAATGATATACTCAATCTACTCTTCGATGAGGCCACTCTAGTTTGATATTGCTTATTCCCAACGATGCGAGATCGATATCAAGGAAATGTTAATTCGTTTAGAGTGGGCAAAAGCTTCCATTGTTCTTATTGTTTTTCTTATCACAGCGAAACTTGTGACGAGCCACCGTATTGTCTCATGTGATCTTTGAGCAAAGCTTATTGTTCCGGAATATTGTGTAATGTACCATGTGTTTCACAAGATCTTTTCAGCGCACTTAATAATAGCGGTTTCAGCGTTTTTAGGCCGTAGGCCTGTCACGGATCCCTAACATCGCAGAACATCCAAAGCTTGTTGCGGTCTCGAACTCGCAACTCACTGCTATAATTCTGCTGTGCTTAACCGCCCGGCCTCCTCGCCGATTCTGACCAGAAACTGGCGCACAGAGCTGGGATCGAACCCGCGCCTCTCTGCGCCAATCCTGGTACTCTGAACTGTAACCACTGGGCCAATTGTTTATGAGAGAAAGTTATCGTGGAGAAAGTTATCGCTATTCCGATAGTTGTTTTTGCTCACCCCAACAGTTTTAAGATCTCACTTTGACACATGAGGCCAATTTTATGGCAAACGAAAGATATATTTTCGAATAAGAATTTAAATGCAAAGAAACGGCAAGAAAATAAACCATATTTGCATTGAAAACGTTCCGGAGACCAGCTCCATCGTTAGTTCAAAAAATTTAGCGAATGAAGCGATCAAAATTTTCGTGATAATAAAAAGACACCGAAACATAAAGACCTATCGATTTACAATTAAAAAGAAATAAGAAATGAACGCGTTACTGGGATAAGGTTTCCGATTAATAATATGTAAGGATTCGAAAATAATTAAATCCCAGCTACCCGAGGTGGCAACAATTACCTTGAATCACTCTCACCAACAGTCACGTCACAGTGTTTAGCGTGAAGGCGCGTGGCAGTAAGAGAAGGCGTCACAGTGTTGAGCGTGAAGGCGCGCAGCAGTAAGAGAAGGCGTCACAGTGTTTAGCGTGAAGGCGCGTAGTGTTTAGCGTGAAAGCGCGTAGGAGTAAGAGAAGGCGTCACAGTGTTTAGCGTGAAGGCGCGTAGGAGTAAGAGAAGGCGTCAAAGTGTTTAGCGTGAAGGCGCGTAGGAGTAAGAGAAGGCTTATAATGATGGAGTTGGTCTCCGAAACTGTTTAAATTAAGATTTGGTAAATTTGCAGGTCGTTTCCTTTGCTTTTAAATACTTGGTGAACTTTCGATCTTAGCAGACTAATGATATACGTACTAATATTATCAAATATTTCGGTAAAGTGTTCCTCACAGTTAGTGTCGGGAATTTCATAATAAGTTTATTTCGAGATTTCAAAATGAAATGAGAGTAAACAATTGTCGCGAGTAAACATTTGTAAATAATACAGACAATATTGTTATAAATCAATGTTGCAAGCCCATTGTTTTCAAACTTTCTTCAGTATTTTGGTATAACATTTTTAATTATGGAAGACTATATTTGTACCACAATCTGATAAAATATTTCGTTTCATTCTTTGCTTTGAGCTTTTAATTGCTGAGAATAAATAGCAAATGTTTTCACGACAGCTGTGGTGTGGCGCTCTGTCGGGCAGGCTACATATAGAGCTTTAACGAGGTTATCGTTCACTTGTTATCTATCTTTATCAGTTTCCACAATTTTTATACCGCCATTTCGTTCAACACAAACAGCAAATTAATTCGAGTATACTAATAGAATCCGACCATTAAATTCTAATTTTTAAATAAATGTATTTATGGTTTTACTGTTTCTTATCACTTAGTAATAACGTTATTTCTACAGGGAAGCAGAACAAGGTCGGTGATAACGGCTGTGCTGCATCATTATTGACCTCTACACTGAGCTGCACAGTTGCTAATCTTGATGTGCGCATGACACTTTACGTCTCCATTAACAGTACTGGTGGGTTTAGCACTTAAACGTTGATTAACGTGGGTAGGATACCATATATTCTACAGCTCACATGGTCAAAACATCGATTAATGTTATTCAATTACTGATAATATTGTGATTAGTTAAGTGACCTGCACCTACAGGGTTCAGTCTTTAGTTGGACGGGAATCAGCTTATGTCTGCGTGCCCAAGCTGTGGTTGGGTTAATGATGAATGCTAAATCATGGCCAATGTGTGCAGAAAATTCTTTATTTTAGGATACTTTAAAAAGTAAAATTTTATGTTCATCTAAAAACTTACACGTTTTAAAATGTACTGTGATTTCGAAGGCAAGAAAGAGGAAAGTGGGCTTACAGTCTGTCTGCTCGATATGAGGCTAATGTTGAGTTTTTAGTGGGATTTTGTAGAAATAAGTCGAAATCATCTAAATGAATTCAGATAATTTTGGACAGAGCCTCATATTTGTTATAAAGGTAACGCAGAATCGGAAAAAATACCTAGAAACACGCAAACAGAATTTTGATTAAAATGTCCGTTAGGGTGTCAATTATGCTGGATAAGTTTTGCAATTTGTTAAATAAATCTGTCTCAGAGTAATTTGCGATTTAATTCATTGAAAAAATGAGCAAGAGCCGTCTTTTCAATATTTCACTAATGGTTGATTATATTACAGATCGTGCATCTCTACTGAAGTATAAGTTGAAGACCTGAAGACATGAAGCTGTTAAATACTAATTGTTCGAACTCGGCCGCAAGCTTGTCGTCACCTGCAACCAGCACCTGCAGCAACTCCCCTCTCCGGACCCCGGACCATCAAACTCTTCCTGCGTTTATTGTGAATAAATCGTTTCTGGAAGAGCCTACTGACATGAATTTCTCTTTAGAAAACGTTGTCGACGATGCTTGCAATCAGATAAATTATGGAATCCCTTTTTCATCCACCCTGAGCAATTCAGAAGCTAATGCTGGTCAATTGCAAGAAGAAATGGCGCTTCAAACGGGACTGTTCACGGGCTTCGATACGTTCTGCTCAGCCAATGATGCCTTAATTTCCTCCTCATTCGACCCAGTCAATGCTGGCTTAACTTCTCCTTCATTCTGCTCAGTCAGTGCTGGCTTAATTTCCTCCTCATTTAACTCAGTTAGTGCTGGCTTAACTTCCCCTTCATTCTGCTCAGTCAGTGCTGGCTTCCAACTTCCTCCACAGTCAACTTCCTCCACATTCGACTCTGTCGGTGTTGGGTTAACTACCCATTCAGTTTCAAATTGTTTATCAGAATTTCCAGTCAATTATGACCAAGCAAACCAAGCCACTTCGATTGACAATCCTACGGCAGTCGAACCATCATATCTCGAGCTAAATTACGCGCCACCAGATGGAAGTTCACACAATGAAAGATCATCCTTTGGCGGTAGCTTCAGTCAAGAAGATGGCGGACGTGACTTTGATTGGCAGGTTTCCACACAACTGCGCAAGACTTTGGAAGAAAACTCTCAAAATAAATTTAATGATATGGACAGACCTATGGACCGATCTGAATTACCATCTGCAGACGACAACTCTATTTTCTTCAGTGGCATCGAGGAATTAGCTAAAACTATTACTGAAAGCTGCCACGTGGGTGAATTTGCACATCAGCCTCAGTCATTTAATGACAATTTTCATCAAAGTTCAAACAATCCACTCCAATTTTCAGAGTTTCAATTGGAATCTCAGGTTAGCAATAATTGGGAACCATATTCAGCAAATTCAAGTGCCTTTTCGCAGAAGGATCTCCAATCACTGGATTATTCGAAGAGTGAAAACGCTTGCCCTTCACTTAATACATCGTCCAACATGGAGGTGCCAGTTCAACAAATTACAAAACCCGAAAATAGTTCAGCAATTATTAATATCGGAAATATTTCTCGAGATCTCATTGGAGAAACTGAGTCAGGCGAGAGCACCGAACGTTCACTAGAGAATGCGAGTCCAGGCTTGACTACCAGCGACTCCTCGCCTCGCAACGAATCGAGCGACGTAACCTCTGCAAGCAAGCCGCATGTAATGAAATTGAAACGGTTCCCTGGATCAAAAAAATTTTATGTATCTTCTGAGTCTTCTTCGTCTGGTAACAATTTGATGCGTGCGTCAGATGATGAAGATGACATGCTACCAATTGCGCCCAACCAGCTCCGCAATGTTAAGTTGCAAAGTCAGACTTCCAGATCCAAGAAAAGCGATTCATCTGAAAAAATTGCCAAATTATCATCCAACAACCGCACTAATTCTAAAATTTGTGGTGTTTGTGGCGATGCTGCAAAAAGTATGCATTTCGGAGGGATGGCATGCGATTCATGCAAAGCCTTCTTTCGCAGGTCCGTCCAAGGGAAGTATTGGAAAAAGTTTCGATGTTCTGTCAAAAAAACATGCAATATCAACCAGGCCACTCGAAGAAATTGCCAGTATTGCAGATTTATTTCTTGCCGTAAGAACGGGATGAAGATATCTTGGGTAATGACTGAAGAGGAGAGATTGGTTTTGTGGAAGAAACGAGTAACTAAACACAGTCCGGAAGACACGGAGGACGATGGCGCTTTCAGTCCCAGAACATCGGATAGCCCAAGCAGAGGGCGCCTCCGCTTGACCTCCAAAGGAGATCAAACAGATTCCGATTCCGAGGACACCACGACGGGAAAACAACTCCGATTGAACAGGAAGAAAGTCCATAGATGCAAGTGTAGCAAGCAGGACATGAGCGAAAGTGTGGTGCCATTGCCTCGCGCGAGTGTGGCTGTTTGCTTCTCAGGGGGTGGAAGATTTATTTTCGACAGGAAGATATTGGGAACCACCACCTCGACTTGCTCTGCCGATCATCCGCTCAGCCAGAACGATGTAGATACGATGAATAAAATTCTTAAATTGCAAAATGAGATTTTCTTCGGCCATAAATTTTCGAAATCTTGTGAAGGAAACACTGCAGAGGCAATGGGTCATATATACCTCAGTCTGTGCCAGGCGTTGTGCTCATTTTTACGCAGCATTGATGATATTTTCGCCATTCCAGTTGAGGATCGATACGTGTTGTGGCAAAGTAACTTCATCCCGGCACTCATGATACATACCCTTTATATATTCGATGGGGAGAACCAATCATGGCCAAGAAAAACATGTACCAAAACTCTGAAGGTACCATTCATCAGTGCTGATTCTCTAATGAAATTCTTCAATTCTGCATATGCCTTCGACAAATTGATGGCTTTCAACCTGACATACAGTCAACACATGCGCGACGAAGGGCTTCTTCCTCTCATGACCATCTTAGCGATCACGCACGAAGATGATTCCCGTTATCAGTTGAAGGACAAATCGGCGGTGCTGATGTGCAGGGAAAAGTACTTGCAGATTTTAATTCGTTATCTACGTTACCGTCTTGGCGAAAGAGGTTCGGCATTGATTCTACCACAGCTGTTATCTTGCCTGGAGGAGGCCAGAACGGTGGCCATGATAACTCGACTAGCGAGGGTTGCCACGAATGCTCCGAAAGTGACTTATCCAAATCCTTCTATTAATGCAGCGGCATCAATGCAGGAGATTATACCACAATCATTTACGCAGGGTCCGTCAGTTTTGTCAGTGACGGAAAATGCGACTGCTTCAAATTACAACGTTGAATACCATGGCTCTCGAAGGCTTCAGCTCTCTCTCTCTGAAACGGAAAAAACATCTGGGCAAAAAACCCTGGCTGCTTTTTCGCCACCTGCTCACACGAAGCGGACGAAGAAGCACAAAGATGAGAAACAACTCTCAATTTGCCAGAAGCAATTAGGCAATAATAATGGCGAAGTGAACGGCATTCTTGAGTGTAATCAAGAAGACGACCCTCAAGAAATGGATTGGCAGGTGGACGAGAGGTTGCAACCACGAAGTGCAGGAAGTTCTTCTTCCAATGCAGACCGCGATAACTTTGATGGAAATAAAGTACCTGCATATGCTAAGACCTTGTCGGAGGAAAAACAGTTGGGGATCAAAGTTCTTTGCGAAATGCTGCAACACGTTGTCCAGAGCGATGACCCGGAAATGACGATATCACTTCGAAAATATCTGCCTTCGCAGCTGTTGCAAAAAATCTCTACTACCCAAGAGAAATAGACAGAAGTGCACTGTACTTGTTTAATGTATGCAACACGATGAGTATTTTTATAGCACCTATTACAGAGAACGGCATTATGATCATGTAATATAACAGTTTTCATACCAAGTGGCATTCTTTTTCAGAAGCGGTTTACAATGCTCAAGTTTACGCAGTTTTATCGCTTAGTCAACACCTGTGACTTATAGTATTATTGCACGTCTTGTCACAATTTTATTGTAATTCTACTGGCCTGCCATTAACTGTGGGTCTCAACATATGTACAATATACTCTTGCGGTCAGGTTACATCGCGCTCCATACAGATGCTTGATATTTCGCTCTCCCTAAAAATTGAACAGGCCAACTGGAATGTTAAAAACGAAACTATTCACAATAATGTTAGCGTCGTTCTTGCCCGTTTAGAAGAGCGGTGAATTTTTACAGCAATTTATGTTTTTTCGAACCCGAAACTCATCGTTAGAATTTGATTTTCCCAACCACTCGGCCATTGTGCCGACTTCTATCAGAATTTTCGCAAATAGCTGCAGATTCGAACCAGTAGCTTATTGCACCATTTGTGGCGATATTCAACACTCTGTCAAAGCTACTCATTTTCATTGTTAGCTATTTAAGGCTCAGTAATTTTAGCAACATAAGCCTTCTTCTTCACTCAAGTTTTATGTAGTATGTAGTGTCCTCTTTATGATGAAATTTAGTTGTTTAATGTTCAAATTGTAATCTGCTACTTTCATTGCTTTAAATCTAGGAATAACTTTTGTAATGTAAGCGATAAGATAAAAATAAAGTGTAAATGGAACTGATTTGTCACTTTACCTCAGTCACAGGTATCCCTGAGCATTTAATTTCTTTTTTAATTAGTGGCAGGGCAATAATGTAGATAGATAATTGTATCGTATAATTGGGATATGTATAAATAAATGATATTTAAATGCCGCTGCGAAGTTAGAGACCCAGCGACGCGCGGATGCGGCGCACCTGAAAACCCAAGACAAAAATTTAACATGGCTGATAAATAGCGGAGCATATCTAGTATCATTTACCCCGATAAATAGCAGAGTATATTTAGTATTGTTTACCCCGATAAATAGCAAAGTATATCTAGTATTGTTTACCCCGATAAATAGCAGAGTACATCTAGTATTGTTTACCCCAATAAATAGCAGAGTATATCTAGTATTGTTTACTCCGATAAATAGCAGATTATATCTGGTATTTTTTTTATCGAATGAACAATAAGAAATCTTATGAAGAGGGAAATGCGCTTGAGAGAAGCAATTGGACCAAGTTATGCTTGCACAATGACATTGAAAACAGGAGTTCAGAGAAGAGACCTAGGACTGCAAAATGAATTACGGAGGAACTAATGTGTTGAAAGGAATTCTCGTGCAGGAAGCCTTCAATGTGCAAGAAGTGATCAGTTTTGACCAGGTCAAAACAATGAGCGCAAAAATAAATAAATAAGCAGGTTAGTCCATGAACCTATTCACTGGATAATTTAGGTGCACTTAATTTTTAGTCAAGTAACCTTGCGAGTAATAAGCAATGGAGACATCAAATCAAACTATACATATAAATTAATGCACGAGTGACGCTACTATCAATATTGCTTCATCAGAATATATACTAAGATAAATAAAAGGGTCGCAAAATAATTTATAGTCCATGGTTCCAAGAGATTAAGTATGTTAACATATGAAAGAGTAGAAGTGCAAGTAAGCTCTAGCCATGAGATTGAAAAAGGAATGGATTGAAAAAGGAACTGTCAGACGAATAATAGAAATAAAGTGAAGAAAGACTTGATGGTGTTAGGTGATTCTGAGGTGAGGAATTAGAAAGATTGCCTCATCAGATCGGAGAGAAAAACTGTAGATCAAGGACAGAAAGAGCAATAGTGAAGTAAATAATATACGTTTAAAAATTACTTTTTAAAGACAACACTTCCAAAGAATCCAGTATCTCCAATCTTACAGATGTACAATGAATTTCTCATCTAATTTTCGAAAATTAGAAAAATTTATTTTTCAATTTTTTAATATATATAAATTTTTTTAATATATAAATTTTTTTTCAAAATTATTTTGTTAATTGATTCATGCATTGCCTCTGACTTTACACAAGTGTGCAAAATTTCAGATCAATTAGACAGGCAAAAGTGTGTCAAATATCAGTTATAAGATTTGTAGCTGACAAAATTATTTTTTCAATTTTTTTAATATTGAAAAAAAAAATAATTTTTAAATTTTAAAAATCATTTATTTTGACATTTGATTCATGCATTGTCTCCAACTTTAAACAAGTGTGCAAAATTTCAGATCGATAGGATAAGTAGAAGCTGTCTCTTATACACATCTAGATGTGTATAAGAGACAGTCCATGGGCCGTGNGGAGGCGTGTGTGTCTGCTGACGGAGGCGTGTGTGTCTGCTGACGGAGGCGTGTGTGTCTGCTGATGGAGGCGTGTGTGTCTGCTGACGGAGGCGTGTGTGTCTGACGGAGGCGTGTGTGTCTGCTGACGGAGGCGTGTGTGTCTGCTGATGGAGGCGTGTGTGTCTGCGGACTGACACGAGTGTCTGCTGACTGCACAGTTGTCCCACTCACTGAAGCATATGTTCATGAAGAAACACAAGCAAGTGCAGGAAAATTCTCTAAGAATTGAAACAATCTAAATGGCATCAGAATATTCGCAGATGAAATTAAAAGGAAGCATAAAATAATAAAACTCCTATATGAACCTGGTAAATCTTGCGCGTAAAAATCTTATTCTGAGTATCACTGTACAAAACAGCTATATTAGTTAATGTTTAGTTTGATCATATTACTAGCTCGTCAAGACTCACTGCTATCGGTGCTGACTAGCGCACCATCGTCGTCCCCTTGAGATACCATGGAAGCATCACCAGCAGCAGTAGGATCCCCAGCAGCAGCACCATCTCCAGCACCAGCACCAGCAGTCTCCCCAGACTCGGGGACGTCGTAGGGCTCGTCGAACGACCGTCCGTAGGTCCCGGCGTTGCTCAGCTCTTGGTAGCAGGGTGGCTCGTCTGCACCCTGCAGCACTTGATTTCTATAATTTGCAGGCTGGGCAAGTGTTGTTACAATGCACGCAAGAATTACCTTTTGTTTATATTTCCTTATAAAACACTGTTACAGGGACTCAGCATAATTCCCAGTGCTTCATCATCCGGCACTTACAACCAAAATGTATGGTTGTAAGCATTACCTATAAGTAGTAATAAAAATTATTTCTTATAATTAGGAGGATAATGTTCGAGCAATTATAAAACTATTTGGGTTTCCTGGAAATATCTTGTGAGCCACAAGGTCACATCATGGAAAAAAATTAACAGTATTTAAACTACATCAAGAAAATTAGATGCCTTAGAGCCGTACTCACATCACAGTAAAGAAGTGAACCCACCTGATAGAAAGTGGAGCTTGTGCTGGTCTCACCGCTGAACATGGACGGGTTGAACTCCGTGGGGTAAGGCTGGTCCATGCTCTGCAAACTCAACATTCTTTTAAATCTGCTTAGCAATTTGTGAGCTCAACTTGATATTTTGGGTTCCTATGTTTACTATACCTCAACGATTTACTGAGAAAAATCAACTCGACATTTTGGGTTCCTATGTTTACTATAACTCAACAATTAACTTAGTAAAATAGATCACGCAGCACTCACAACAGCAGAAGGAGGAAGAGGGAGGTGGCCGGGGTAGGAAGCAAGGGGGAGAGGATGGGATGAGTCACCCGCATAAGCCCTTGCCATCTGGCTGGTCATGGGGCTGTTCGTCACCTCCTGCACAACAACAAGCCAATAAACAGAGAGATACGTTTAATTTGCGTGTGTCTAAATAGTCCACAATGACTAAGATCCTCCGACAGTCTGGGCAATAATGGCGAGACCGACCTGCCCTTTGCACTACTCTGCTGACTCACCATGAACTGCACCAACAGTCTGGAGTCCTGCCCTTTGCACTGCTGCACAGACTCACCATGAACTGCTCCAACAGTCTGGAGTCCTGAGTCCTGCCCTTTGCACTGCTGCACAGACTCACCATGAACTGCTCCGACAGTCTGGAGTCCCGGCCTTTGCACTGCTACACAGACTCACCATGAACTGCTCCGACAGTCTGGAGTCCCGCCCTTTGCACTGCTCCACAGACTCACCATGAACTGCACCAACAGTCTGGAGACCTGCCCTTTGCACCGCTCCAACTCACCATGAACTGCACCAACAGTCTAGAGTCCTGCCCTTTCCACCGCTCCAACTCACCATGAACTGCTCCGACAGTCTGGAGTCCTCCACAGAGAACCTGGAATCCTCGTCTTCATCCATGATGTTAATGGTGGGACCAACTTCATCTTCTGAGCTGCTCAGCATCTCCCCAAACAGTTGCTCTGAAATAAAAATAATTGCAATAACTTCCATGCATTTGACACTGCAATTGTCTATATAACTTGCGAGGTAAGCTTTGTCAGATTTGCCCATTTGGTACAATTAACTTGTGAAAATAATTTTACTAAACAGCAATCGTAATTCCAAAAAATTCCGATCAAGGCCTACAAGGGTAATTACATAGAAAGGTCTGTCAGCTCACATTCATTTTGTGTTAATTAGTTTTGCATTCTGGATATAGGTTCTAATATCTTCAAGGTGAATTTTTGTTTACTAAATGATTGTACTTGTGTTCTAAGATCTTGAACTGACAATGGAGCTGGACTCCAAAATATTTTCTCTTATAAAGAAATACCTAATGAATTTTTGGCTATTATCTCTGCTTTCAAATTCTAGGTAAATTTGAGATTCAAGTAATCAAGTTATCTTAACACTACAAGGGCAATATTTGTTTGAAGATTTTCTAAGCCATACCGTCAAGATTAGCATGGATGTTCTGAGAGCCCCGGGCAGCGGCAGAGGAGGCCCCAGCCCTGCGGTCGTGCTGCATTGCCTGCTTGTGCGTCCCCTCCTTCATCAGCTCCCCACTACCCCCGCCCATGGGGAGCTTGTCTTCATCCTCCCTCAGCACCTCCCACTTGACGTTAAGGGCTTCCTCATCCGCACGCAGCAGACGCTTCACTTCCTTCTCTATTTCAGGCAGTTCCAGGATCTGGAAGGACATTTCTATTACTACAACAGCACAGAGTAGCTAACAGCTACAGGATCTGGTAGGAAATTTTTATTACTTCAACTGCACAAAGTTGCTAACAGCTACAGGATCTGGAAGGACATTTTTATTACTTGGCCAGCAAGTCGCTGTGTCCCCCACAGCCAAATTTCTTGGTATGATATGGGACAACAAACTCTCATGGAGACCCCATGTGCGGGCTTTAAAAGGCAGCGTCCTTAAGAGGATGAATTTGCTGAAGTGGCATGTTGGCATACTGGCAAAAAAGCACAACAGTTGGCATACTGGCAACAACATGTTGAATGTTTGCTTTCAAGTTTAAAATTCTTGTCCTTGCCAATATTATTAGAAAAAGTCAACTATTACAACCAGATGAAAAACATTCAAGAGTTTTAGCCTCAAGCAGAAATAAATTATTGCAATTTTTCTCTAACAATTCATGGGGTCATGGCTGCATAATTAGGAATGTTGCTCATGAGAGTTGTCTAATAGGAAACAAAATGCTGGTCAGAAATTCCCAGAGCAATGAGGGCAAATATCATTTTAAAATTTAAACTACATAGTTAATATTGTGGAAAAAGTGAGGTAATCATGGAATGAATTTATAAGATGTTAATCTTCAAAACACTCACCTGGCATATGTCAGCTGTTTTGTAGAAGTTCTTGTTATCGATTGTCTTCCATGACTCAATAATTGTAGGCAGATCAACAAGCTAAGAGAATAGCATAGAATTGAAAAAAATTCAGCAAAAATTCTATAGTTAACTAGATGCTAAGTCAGAGTTACTACAGGCAGTGCCACTCAAGACAAATAATCCTGAGATGCTTCTATATTTACTCCAGTATCAGGTGTCAATAACATGATTTTAAATGTAAAGCATGATTTCTGATGCTGAATATTACACTTTTACTAAAGCACCTTGAAAATGAGTTAATAGATTAAGGAAGATTCATTTAGACTTAGATGAACAGTAAAAATTTAGCATACCTTCCAATATTTTCATTAAATGAGTATTATTTCATGAAGTACAAATAAAAACAATCATTGTTGCATTACTTACCCTTGCCTTGTACATTATTGTGTCAACTGTAATGATTCCATTGCGCATATCATTGTTGTCAGCTGAATAATCAAGTTGGATGCTCAGTCGGTCCTTGATGTTGCTGCTTTGATTGGAGCGCAGTAGCTCTCGTAGAGTCTCAGCTTGGGGCTGAAAAACACAAACAACTCTTATTAATAATGAATTTAACTGTAATTTATCCATTTGAAATATTCCCTCAATAATTGTACAACATTTTTTCTATTTGAATGGAATGATTTATTCTAGGGTAGGTATGGGAGTGGCTTTTCCTTCACCATTCAAGCATAGTACCTATTAATATATTGAAGGAATTTAAAAATTACAAGTACTAAAATATTTTGGAAAAGCACATGCAACAAACACTTCATTACAATTTTACTTATATAGTCAGAACCCAGTGTTGTTAGGCTTGTATACATTATTACCAATAAAACCCACCTGAGGAAGCCTTAGAAGAAAGTGATTTTCAAGCTCAGGCCCTTGCTGTCTGGCTGGGCGGGTAACTCGTCTCTTCAGAGATCGATTCATATTTAGGATTATTTGGTTGAATTTAACTGAAAAATGTGAAACTCTGACAATTTATTTCAAAACTACAAGAAAATAAATTGCTGCTCTCAATAATTAAGTGGTTTTCTCCAAGTGATATTTTAGTGGCAGTAGGTACTAAATATGAAAGAAAATTATAAGAAGATAATTCATACTAAAACTATTGAAAAATACTAAACATTTGGTAAAAATTAACATGGCCCAATGAAAAATACTTCTAACTGATTAAGGTCTCTCATGGGAAAATACATTTTATGGTCAAAGATGAATTATTTTATGAAAATGTCACTAGTATAGGTATAAACATATCTACAAATGCAAAGTGTAAATATCAAAATAGGCACTAAGTACATATGTACCGTACATATATATACTAGGGCACACGGCACAGTGGCTTAGGGGACTAGGGGTTAAAGTTCAGATTCTCAAGATTGGACTCTGGAGCAGAAGGGTGCAGGTTTGATCCCAGCTCTGTGCGCCAGTTTCTGGTTGGAAGAGGAAGGAGGCCAGGCAATTAAGTTAAGCAATTTTGAAGCAGTGAGTTGAAGTTTAAGCCTGCAAAAAGCTGTGGATGTTCTGCATTAAAAATTTGTGACAGCCTGACAGGCCTATGGCCTAATAAACACTGAATTCTGAAACAGCTATATTATTATTATATTATAATGACATATGGAGTCAGGAGAAGTATAAAAAAAGATAACAAATGTGTTGACTTTTATGAAAAGCTTATATATATTTGTTACATATGCTGAACATCATACTGCAAAATACATGGTAGCCAGCCTGATCCATGGTACCGGTAGGCAACATAATATATTGTAGAATTGATGCTGAGTGACTGAGGGTTGAATTGATGACAGTTCAATGGTTGAATTGATGCCCATATGGGGTTCAGAAATCACTTTCGTTAACCAGCTGGGACTGCTGGGTCAATGCAACTATGCAAGTGTTTGCCACATGCCCTTTTGCTCTGAATCTGATGATACATTGATGCTTAATGCATGGGTTCTAAATTAGAAATCAACTGAAAATAACAAAAACTGAATAATGAACTAGTTTCTAAGAAAATCTCTCTTTTACTACCACTATGCTGACAGCTGACTGGCATAGAAATATGGAATCTATTTAGTATTTACTGTTCAAGCCATGACTAGAGTTGTCTTGCCAGTACTGGAGCCATAAAATAACAGTTCAATGAATTATTTTTAATCTAATTTTTAATAAAACTGCATAATCAAGAAGGTGAAGAAGCAAGATTGCAAATGAATGCTGATCCACAGTTCATTTCCACCATTGGCAGTTGGCACTGATCCATTTCCACCATTGGCACTGATCCACAACATCATCCACATAGACATAGGTACTGGGGGGCCAACAGTCCAACACGGCAACACCAACCCTAATTACCGTACTAGGGGCAGGGCACTGGCAGGACTGGCCAGTGGCCACTGTGTCAGCAACTCGTTGTGTACTGTGTACAGTACAATACAGTCAGAACCCATGGTGGCCCCTTTGTTTTAGTTTTGTTTTGGAATTTGGAAATGTAATAAATGAACAGGTACATACATAATACAATAAATACATTGATACATCATACACTGATAACACTGTCACTCAGACAATACTCACTCTGTCACATATAGTAGGCTAATTGACATACAGCATTGGATTTGGAGATCTGAAATTGGATTGGTCTGGACTCTGGACCTTCCTGTCCTCAACAACTTTGAGAAGCTATTGTAAGTTGTAACTTCATCTTCTAGGATTCATCAGCTTCAACTTTCCAGACACTTATCTTTTCTATGCTCTATCTGCAGGCCTGCAGCAGAGTGCAGCTGCAGCAATCTTTATATTGAATATAGTGTGCTAACTAACTGTGCTTACTGCTTACATTTTTTTTACATTGCTTATTTTCAATTTTTTAATCTGAGCTAAGAGTAAGCTAAAGTTATCAACAAATCATTACAAAACATTATGAATCAAATCAAATGAAATTGCATTCCAGTATGCCGAGCTTCTGGAATGTCTTCATTTGTAGAGATTTGTGTCGACATCTGCATAGCCTACTTAGTAAGCAACAAGCATCCAAGATAAATATTATAATTGAAAAATTATGAGATCAGCTAATTCATCACTGACATGAAACCACAATGGAGTGAATGGACACTGAAAATTCTTGAGTCAGCTTTCTGAGGGAGAACAGAAAAGTGATTCAAGGTCGAAGTTAGGCTACCACGGAATGAACAAGCAAGTGCATTTAGTAAGTTGTGTTTTTGTGTACAGTTTTCACTTTTCAGGAAAGTGGTCGTTCTGGTTCACGCACGTATAGGTATAGGCTATTTGAACTTTTTTTTCGTGGTACAGTTGATCCTACAAAATGAAAAAAGGTCCACTACTGGAGGCGGTGTACATGGCAGCAAAAGGCCTTGACAATACTGGTTTGACTTCGAAGGGTTCCGAACTTCCGTGTAGCCTGATCTGATTCAGGTGTCTAGTCAACTGCCCTCAGACAGCTTGAACGGCTGACTGGAACCTGGAAGTACAGGGAGGGATTTTGCTGTCAAAACAACTACCGTAGTAGCTAATTGTTTCTTTTAAAAGAGATTACTGTCGGAAAATTCATTCAGTACCAAAATATTACAAATATATAAAGACTTAACACAACCTAAACTGAAATGTTTTTACTTTGAAACCATTATTTTTTCTCGCTATTCGAAAATTAGGGTGATGTCTTAGTTGAATTACACTCAGCCTATTGAACAACTGTGAGTGTGCAGAACGTTGTAAACGGATGTGTTCGACCTCGGACGCGGACTCGCATATCAGTCGGGTCTTAGCAGTGGTGTAGTGTGGTTATATGCTAAGTCTGCCATCATGTCCGATGAAAATGTGGACTTCGCTGAAGAGGTATGCTTGTCTTTGAATAAAACTTTTCGTTGCGTCGCATAATGCATATCAGTGTCAAAACAGTTCCTTACGCTGCGTGTGTTTCGTTGGCATTATTCCGTTTCAGCGTGAGAATTATTGTCACTGAACCGTGTTGCAACAAGCGAACATCAGCAGCTTTCATTATTTATCTCTAGTTTTGCACCGTCACAATCGATAAATCGCTAAGCTAATATTCGCCATAGATTCTCGTCAACATATGCTTTTTACAGTTAATCTGTGGTACTTATTTTTATTGTAAATTTGCAAACAAATTTCAGAATTTTAAAGCATTTTATTTTTAATCAACTTCGAGAAGGAGCGTTGCAATATTTAATCAATTTATGTTGAAGCCCCTCTGTGATAAATAGGTGAAGGCAATACCTATGCATCAAACATTTTCCATAATAAAACTTTTCAAAACATCCACGCGATAGCAGGTCAGACTTATTAGAGCCATTCGTTTGAAGTTTTAACTATCAGGCATAACTATATAGGAGGTTATAGCTAGTTTGTTATAGTAGTTTAGTAGCTCTAATCTCAGACCTTCAACACGGATTTGCGACCATCTTGATTAGACATCACGGTTGCCGTACTAACGTCTGAGTATCCATCTTAAGATGGTTGTGAAGGTGGCCAGTTTTTTGCTCCTCATCGCGAGAAAGTGATTCGCTGCTTTAGAATGTGAAATTTTGCTTAAAAAACCCGCGTCTCCTGAGTTGCATTCGCTTCACTTCTTGCCGTTATTACAAGACGTTGATTGCGTGGCGTAGAACTGACGTTTTTCTTTATATGTCAAGGCTTCATCACTTGTTGAACTGACAGTCGTGCCTGCATGCCAAGACTTCTGCTGACGGTCACGGCTGCATGCCAAGACGTCATCACCTGACGTACAACTGACGGTCACGGCTGCATGTCAAGACGTCTTCACCTGACGTACAACTGACGGTCACGGTTGCATGCCAAGACGTCATCACCTGACGTACAACTGAAGGCCACGGCTGCAGGCCAAGACGTCATCACCTGACGTACAACTGACGGTCACGGCTGCATGCCAAGACGTACAGATCAAGTAGTAGCACAGCTTAAGGATCAAGTAGTAGCACAGCACTTGCAGATCAAGTAGTAGTATCACAGCAAAGAACCCACGTAGGAATGCTACGTGCTGGCACGGTTCTCACGAACCGACCTGACCTTGCGTGTGCAGTTGCCGGCTAGGATACGAGTGCATTGTTCAAGCCGCGGCTTTGTATTGTAAACGTTCTATTTATGAACCGCTTCCCGCCGCCTGCCAGCACAAGAACCAAGTGCAAGCAGACAAAAGCAAGTCCTCAGCACGCGTCTAGTTTGCTGCGCTGCAGACAAGAGCAAGTCCCCAGCACGCGTCTAGTTAGCCGCGCTGCAGACAAAAGCAAGTCCCCAGCACGCGTCTAGTTGGCTGCGCTGCAGACAAGAGCAAGTCCCCAGCACGCGTCTAGTTTGCCGCGCTGCAGACAAAAGCAAGTCCCCAGCACGCGTCTAGTTTGCTGCGCTGCAGACAAAAACCAAATCCCCAGCACGCGTCTAGTTTGCCGCGCTGCAGACAAAAGCAAGTCCCCAGCACGCGTCTAGTTTGCCGCGCTGCAGACAAAAGCAAGTCCCAGCACGCGTCTAGTTTGTCGCGCTACAGACAAGAGCAAGTCCCCAGCAAACGTGTTGTGTGTGGTCTGCAATGCTACTGCTGTAGAATTTAGGCGCTACGCTCCGGACATGCCTCATCTGTTGCTTCTTAAATCATCTTCGTCTCTTATATGAGGACTAGAGATACTAAAAAATTTAATGTATCACCTAGCTGGCTCATGAATTTATCACAAATCTACATGAGACAGTGGATAACTTTTGAACAGGTACACTTTTTATTATTTATTATTTGCTTTGAGACTGCAAACGTTGGTAGCGGGAATGAGGAAGATGTGCGGAAGATTTGATCCTCGGAGAACCGAAGACTCGGGTTCAGTGAACCTGTGAACCCTAGTTTATTGGCCAGCATTGAATCGGGCTGAAGTACCAGTGACCGCCTCGCAGGGTTTAACCCCCAGACGATGACCGCCTCGCAGGGTTTAACCTTCACGACGAGGTCCATCGCCACGTGTCTAAGTTCCACCCTGCAACTGAAAAGAAATAAAATAGCATTAACCCCAGACAACGACCGCCGCGCAGGGTTTAGCCTCCAGACTATGACCGCCTCGCAGGGTTTAGCCTCCAGTCGATGACCGCCTCGCAGGGTTTAGCCTCCAGACGATGACCGCCTCGCAGGGTNGCACACGTCAGTCAAGTATCCAGCACACGTCAGTCAAGTATCCAGCACACGTCAGTCAAGTATCCTGCAGCAGTGGACGACATTAGCTGAGTTGCTGTCGGCGCAAAGGCCGCGGCTCATCGATCTCCTGGAGCTTGATTATGCCAGCGCTACCAGCTCGTCCTGGACACTATATACTCGTATATCCTTAAATACGATATATACATATCTGCCCTTATACATTATTATATCTATCCATATATATCATGATATGTATCCTTATATATGATAAATATCTACCCTTTTACGTATTTCGTTGTATCTATCCTTTTATAGGACACATAAATACGCTCTAATATCATATATGTATGTCCTTATGTGTCGACGTTATATGTATCCAGCTCTGTCTTGCAGAGGTAAGTAGTCTCGCGCTGGAGTAAACAGCGCCATGCAGCAGTTTTCATGCCACACGCCATGTGGCATGGCTTGTTGATCTTATGACCTTATGACCTTATGATGAGTTTAGGACGTCGTAGTCCAAGGTCACGCTGATGCGCCGCCTTCGTCGTCCTCCGTCTCCGAGTCGTCGTCGGATGTAACGTTGGACGTGTTCCGTCTATTTGCCCTCATTTGGGCC